AAAGCAAAAGCTAAAGCTACAAAAAAAGCTTCAGACTTTGCTGCCAGTTGGATGGATGTCTGATTAACTTACCTTACCTGTACTGAATATAGTAAGAGCAATGCTATTCTGAGCCTGGTACGGTGGGTATATTGACTCAAAATCTTATATGGTATACAATAATTTCTATTGTGAAAACTCCCAAATTGGTCATATAAACTGTTGGGAGATGGCGACACCGTACAGCAATTTTTGTCTGCTGTTAACACCTGGAGCAGAAATTATTTTCAGGGTCATAAAAGACTAAGTAAACACTATTAGAAAGACATCAGTTAATTTTAACATTAGTACACAATTTTTTTCTTAATTTTTTTAATTGGCTTAGTACATGACTACACCTTGTTAATATCCTTGTTCTTTATATCTATTATTTCATGTATTTCTTGGTAAATAATTTAACCAATTAGTCTATTTATCTTATTTTGATCAATAATAAGTGTCATTTTTGATTAATCATAAGTCCATGCTGTCTTATCTTAAAATTCTTGACAAGTTTAATTAGTATGTTATTAGTCCTAAATAAATCTTAATTTAAAGTTATACAAAAAAAGCTTTTAGATGCTTTTTTTTTCTATTTGTTGTAAAGATCACTCGTTTTGAAAGTATGAATTCATCTTCATACACTTCATACATATTGAAACTAATTTATTTATGTAGAGTTACAAATGCATACTAAAAGAAGACTACACCTCCTTTGTTGCGTAACATCATAATTTCACTAAGTGTCAAATGTGAACATTTATTTAAAGGGAAAACAAAGGTAAATGTCAAAAGTTGCATGATATAAAGTCTGAAATTCCCATTAGAGTTTTTATTAGATTATCTAATCCCCACACTAAGCTCTGGGCTGTCCAATACATTTTCTATCAGGTCAGGTCTTTTACAGATCTCCTGAGACCAGTCATCATCTGTCACAAAACAAGTCAAAGCATTTTAATCTCACACGTGCTTCTCATTAATATTTCATACAAAGGAAATTTATGGGCTTGGGCTCAACTGCATGTTAGCCAGAGAAAGTGAGAGAAGACAAAGGGGAAGAGGAAAAAAAGAACTGAGCAAAGTTAAACCAAAATTACTTGACTCCAATCCGCTCTTAAAAAAAAAAAAAAAAAAAAAAGCGTATCCATGCAAACATTGTGCACTTCCATGGAAAAGTGCCATGTTTTCCCCTTCCTGAAATTAGATCGCCCTGAGGATGAAGCTTTCCTGTATTACCCAGTGACAACCAAGCAGTTACATGATCCAGTCTCTGCTCAAATGCACTCAAACTTAAACAAAATATTACTCTTCTTCTTCTAAAGTTTATGTGCATATTTTATCTCTATACTAAGTACTCAAATATCTACAGCACTTCCTCCATATAAAACTAGAATGAACAAAAGGACTCAAACTAGCAGCTAACTAAAAGTTTATTCACTTAACTTAGAATATTGTTGAAGGATACTATTTTAGAATTTATGGGCATATCTTATGTTTTCTTGTAAAAAAAAAAAAAAAAATATGTTGGTATTTTGTACCCCAGGACAGGAGAGTAAGTAGGGTTGGATAATATTAGAAACAAACATGCAACATTGTTGGTGAATATCAAAGTGACAATATAACTTCTGGAAAATATAAAAATATTTAACCTTACTGTGTTTATGTTGGTAAGCTTTAGGTTTGTTGAAATCACAAACACACAGGGTGGGTTTCATGGAGTTTATAGAGGTTTATATGGAGTTTATATTTTCCTTATACTCCAGGCAGTTATTGCAATATTATTATTAATGATGATTATTTACAATAACAATATACTGTGCAACCTAAACAATGAATGGCTAAAGAAGCCATAGTTGATTAAAAGTCTTGGTATTGTGCTCAAAAGAATGATGTAAGGTGTGTCTTCCAAAAATGGCATTAATTTTCTGAAAGATTTACAGATTATAAAAGTACAAAGACGAATTATAGCATTCACTCAGTAATTTGCGCAACAAGGTATTGCATCTAATCAATCAACCTTTTTTATAACTCTTTTATTAAACTTTTGTTGCAAAGTGCTAAAAACAACAGACTGCCGAAATAACATCATATAAGCATCATGTAAATATTCGAAATAGATTAAAAATGCAACCTTTTATGAAGAAGTCTCCCTCATCCAGCAAAAATTAGCATGGAGAAAAATGGACTAAAGCTCCTTTTCCTGTAATATGTGAATATATTGTGTAGCTTAAGCAGCAGACGTGGCTCATTTTTTTAGTTTACATGTTGTATATTTTTTTAGTACTTCGAAATATGTGCACCCTGCAAAGCCAAACACTATTGAAACAAAAACAGATTTGCCATCGGTTGAAATACGTTTCAGCTAGTAGCAAAAAGCAAAGCTGAATCCTAAACCTTAAGATTCTTCAGGTATTGTGGAAATACCTTTTAGACTGGGAGCTGAAGAAAATCATTTTGTAAGAGTTATACAACATATAGTAAAAGGCAAAGTCTGCACAAAGTTAAAAGGGCAAAGAAAGTAACAATAATGATTCTCTTAAGCTGCATTAAAGATAAGACGGACCCCTCAGTATGTCTATGACTCTTGATTCTTAACCGTACAAACAATTTGAGGCAGACAAAAAAATTATACCCTGAAATATGAAAATGTTGCAATATATCATACATTTTTAGTCTGTGTAAGTGTTCAGCTCTTAAGATGCAAACAAGTTTACATAGAGAAGCAGACACACATGACTGGAGGGGACAGAGGCCACCCTGTTCAACAAGTAGGTCAGCCCAGGTCCAGCAAGAGACGGAGAAAAGGCAGGAGCTGAGTGAAGCAAGATCATTGACCCACGTCACTTTATTCATATAAGCAAACCAGTTGGACTTTTTACCATTTGGGTCAAGTAAAACTTTGCCAACTTTGATTTATTTTATTCTAATTCTGAATAGTTGGAGAAAATTATTGTATTTTATGAATAGGGAACTGAAGAATATGAACTACATCTGTATTCTGAACCCTTTTCTTTCACAACCCTAAAAAGAAAGCAGTAAAACTAATGTCACCTAATTAGTAAACACTATCCACCTGTGTATATCTAACTCACTACAAATCCAGCTGTTCCTTCATAGTCTCTGTGGGCTGTTCAAGAACAGTACAGGAAAAATGAAATCAGGAAGACCAAGGAAAACAAGGTCAGAGAAAGGTGAGAGATTAATCCCTGCTTGCAGTTGACCACAAGCAAAGGTAACATAGGAAAAAGGTGGTAAGAGGTGCTCTGCTCAGATGAGACAATATTATACATTTTTGCTTATATACAAAACAATCTGTGTGGAGGTAGGCTAACATGGAAAATAACCGATTTCACTACCCGATCTGATAAATACCATCGGGTCATCTGTGCATGTGCAAGCAGATATTCATCCAGATCGCCATAATAATGTAATTACAGTACTGGAAGTACCGTATTTTCTGGACTAAAGAGAGCACCTCACTATAAGCTGAACCCACTAAATGTTTTTGAAAAAACTGAAAATGTACATATATAAGCTGCACCTGGCTATAAGCCACTGATAACTTCTGAGCTGTCTCCCACCAAACCTGTAGGGGGACATATAGTCCCTGGTGTAGGGAAAAAAAAGAATGCTAGCCTCTGTTAACTTGTTGGCTTGCAAAAGTAAGAGCTCCTTACTGAAAGATTAAGCTTTGTCAGCTCTTTATTTCAGATATGCAGGAGTTGAGCCCAGTCTCTCCATTGGTTTGGCAGCTTTAATGAGGCAAATAAATGTCAAGATGTTTGAATTTGGGATATTTGTTCCCAGTCTTGCCTGCTGCTAACATGTTCTTGTGCTAAATGAAAATGATACCCCTTAATTTTTCCAACTTTGACTTCCCCCTCTGGTGGTTAGGAAAAATCATAAGAAAAGCTGCATCTTCTTATAAACTGCATGGTTCAAAGCATGGGGGGAAGTAACGGCTTATAATCCAGAAAATATGGTACTTCTTTCTGTCCTGAAATCTTCAAATAATCTTAAATGATATCACATAAAATTCATTAAAATCTTTACTGAGAGAAGTGAATGTGTTTTACATTGTCTCTGTAAAATTGCTTGTCTGATTAATCACAGGGCATGCTCAGCGCACTATGATGACACAATTTTTAACTGTATTTTAGTTGTTTCTTTATTTGGATTAAACACTATACACTATAAAAGTAAACCAAAATACAAAACATAAGACTCTTCAAATTATCTACAAATCCCAAATCCCCCAAAAAATTAGCTAGCAGAAGTAGGGTAGGATCCTATTTACAGACACAAAAAACGGCTGTTATTAACCTTTTACACATTTTACTTCAAAAAAGTTTTTCAGTCATTTTAGATCAAGTGCATTCAGTGGGGACCCGGTTGTATTACTGGTTGCGTATGTTCAAATGAGTTGCTGGGACAGATCGTGCTACCGGTAGAGATCGGGTAACAACAACCCTGAGCAATCCATTCCCAAAGTGAAACAATGCGATGAGTCTGTCACGTTGAAGGGGAAACTCTTCTTGAGCAGGGAAGCTTTACAGAGAATAGGAACATGCATGGAGTTAAACGCAAAAAACTAAAAAATAAACCATTAAGATATTGTATAAGCATTGAGACTAGGCTAGAAGCTCACCCTATCTCATAACGAGTAGTAGTAGTAGTAGTAAACAAGTTCAGTCTCAGCTGCTGAAACCCAGCATTTCTCCAACATTCAACATGAAGCCTTTTGTTTTTTCCAAACAATAATCATTGAATAGATAGACATTTGTGGCTGTAACATGAGACAGAATAGGATGAAGCTCAAGAACTACAAATAACGTAGACAGTTATGTAGAAGAAAAGCAAAACGTAAATGCAGCCGTGCTTAATTTAAAATATTTGCACAGGAGAGGTAGGTATATCCACCAATTGAAAAATGCATGCGTCATTAAAAGAGCAAAGTAATGCATGTCTAAGGCGCATCTTACCTGAGGGCAGTCTTTGATGTAATGGCCCTTGTTGAAGCACAGGTGGCACAAGTAGTTGGGTGGGGGTCTTTTGTTGGGTTTCCTGGGCTCTGAAGACAGGGAGAGGTCTGAGAAATGGTCCGTCAGGGAGTTGAGTCCATCCACTATGTTGTTTAGGGAGCCATAGGGGGATACATTCTTATACACGTTGTTGTTCAAGGCCTAGAAAACATCAAGATGAGGCTCATTTTAAACACAGTAATCTGACACTTTGAAAATATGTTATCATCTTTTTATCTTTAGTAGATTTGCACATCATATTTAATGGTTCTATTTTCTGCTATGAGGGAAAAAAAAAAACATGTGAGGCCTCCAAGCCTCTAAGACCATTTTTCTTATTTAATTCAGAACATCTGGCGCTGTGCCCAGCTGTGCTTATTAACTGGAAAAGTACTGAGCATGTTCATGGAGCAAGACAGGACTTTACAAAAGATGACTCACTGTAAACAAGATGAGAGACATGCTCCCTGACCAGTCCGTGGAACATCAGCAACACACTGCTGGAGCTAAACTAGTCTCTGTCAGCTTGTCATCTGCGACAGAAACCAGCCTCGCATGCAACGAGACCCAATGAATTCATAGAGGATGCTCTTTGAATATTAAAAACAGGGAAATCGTTGCATGCGCTCCTTTGCTTTTCCTTTCCATTCCTGTATTATTCGGTTAAATCCCAGAAGAGAAACACAAGACAGAAGCCTGCCTCTGGTGGAAATTAGGCAAGTTTTAGAGCAAACATACATATTTTAAAAAGCCTCTCATTAACCCAGAGAAAGCTTTGCAATGGATCTCAGCTGACATCTGCCTTGAATCTTGACACTTAAAACAAACATGTAAAATTTCAAGTAAAAACATTTGATCGATTGTGAAATCCGAACTTTGTCTCATCCCTCCCAGCAATGCCATAAGTTTTGAGTCTCGGGTTTATGTCTGGTCTGAAATTTTGCTATCGGTTTTTATTGTTTCAAAGCATAGAAACTTTAGCCATAGCAGCTTTGCCATGGGTGAAGGCCAAGTCTTTATCTGGAGACTGTAAGGTTGTCTTGCTAAACAGCTCCAGCCTTAAGACTTATGTTCATTTATTACATACAGCCATTGTAAATCAAGACTTACGGCTCTGGAGTTTTCCGATTTTTTTTTCCATCTGTGTGTGTGTGTGTGTGTTTCTCTGCTGTTTCTCTCATCGCTGAAACATCATCACTTTGGAGAAGACTGCAAAGTTATTTCAACTATACAACACAGGAAACTTTACTGTGTTTACAATGTCACATTCTCCCCGCTTGGCATTAAACCAATATCTGTCTGCACAAGTGAAAGAGATTTCACACACATCTGCTAATGGAGGGGAGGAGTTGGTTTATATTGTGCAACTGTGTGTGTATAAGTGAGTGGATGCAAGAGATAACTCTAAAGAGGTAGCAATTCAGCAGTTTAGAGATAATTCAGAAAGATTCTGTCAAATGGTAGGACTCCAATCTCATGTAGGAGCTCCAGCAAAGCAATACCAGTAATAAACCAGGTATTGGTTTACTTTTCACTGGCATAAGCAAGAGTGTTTCTAAAACCATTCGATGCAAAGTTAGTGTATTTGATAGACTTAAAACCTCTTGGGAAAATTCGACTGTTTTGTTGTGTGAATATTTTTTGTGAAATTGTGCTATGAAATGTTTGTTTCATTGCGTATTAATCTTAAAATGTCTGCATATTATCAAAGTACAGGAGAGTTTACCTACACAAGAACATTATTTAGCTTAGAATTCATGGGAACAGATGTAGATCCCCAGCTTAATTTAATACAGCTGTTTAAAACACCAGTCAGGGATCAGTGGGAATGTTTTAGTTTCCCAAACATCTAATCTTCTACTGGCACCAGTAGCTCTGCAAACAACTCAACTCACTATTTGCAGCAGCAGTTATTAAAAATAACTAACCTGTTTTTTCTGCATTCAAGTCCTTAGTCTCTGATGACTAAATGAAGGCCTAATTCAAATACTTTCAATTCAGTTTAATTACTGTATATATAGCGGATATTCACAACAAGTCATCTCAAGGCACTTAACAGTTCACCAGCTCATACAGTCAAATTGATTTAAAGTTTTCCATCTAAGGAAAACCAGTTGATCGCATCGACTCATTGACTCCAAGGCAATCCCTCACACTAAGGATGCTTGTAGCGACAGTGGAGAGGAAAAACTCCCTTTTTATAGGAAGAAACCTCCAGCAGAACCAGGCTCAGTGTGAGCGGCCATCTGCCGAGGCCGACTGGGGTTCAAGGAGACAGAAGCAGATCCAGTCAGTCACAGTCAGAAAAACAGAACTATACTAAAAAACAGGCCGATCTCCAACATCTATAAACAAAAGTGTTTACTTTACACATTCAAATTAAGATAACAGTTTTGCAAAAAAGATGTACAAAAAAAAATCAAAAATGTAGCAAACAGCTAAAGCTGTCGGTAACTCAAACTGAAACACATGAAGGTGCGTCTGTTTGCATGTGTCGTACAGAAAACACATGAAGCAATCATGTATTTTCATTAATCTCCCTGAGATAGACTCGGGATGTCCGCTGATGCAAAGGATTGTGGGAAACCATATAGCTCCTGAGCTCCATATGGGCATGTCAGAAGGTCCCTATGCTAAATGAAGTATTGATAGCAAGCATGAAGAGTTTCCTTCCATACTTCCAGCACTTTTGCCACAGCGCTTATCCTGGCTAACACTCACTAATTTAGTATTAGGATTGAACCTAAGACTTTCCCAGCACACATATGCGATCTAGTATACCTAAAGCAGAGCTGCTATAGCTTCTGATTTCAAAATCTTTTCATTTTACACATTCTATTTCTAAATATTCAATTTCAAAAGTAATTGAAAGGTACCATAACCTACCACAAATATACATAGGCCAATGTCTTTACTTTACTTTTTTATTATTATTATTTGTTTGTTTGTTTTATGAGTTTCTGCTTTTATTTTGAAAAAAAAAAACAACAGAAGAATCTTTCTAACTTAAACAGTAAAAAAAAAAAGATCAGATGTAATTTTGGGGGAAACTGTTGTTATGTAACAAATAGTTCAGTTTCAAATAAATCAATGTGTTAGTTATAACAATTTTACTATTAACATAAACAGATAAGCATTACCATTAATGGCCTATGCTTAACTTATGTCCTTTATTAATAAATAAAACAAACCCTTCTATGTTAGGATCTCGGTATTTCTGTCAAAGCTAAGGTCTGTGACTTACTTTCTATGAATGCATAAGGCCAGGTCACACAGCTTGCATCTGACTCTGCAAGCTTCAATGCAAATTTATTTTCCTGTCACACTGACTGCGTAGAGAATCCCACTTCTCATAGGGTGACCAGATGTCCAGGACTGTCCCCCTTTTTCACTTCTCTCCCAACTATCACACTAATTGAAACAACACCCCGCATTTCACAGGGTCCAACCATGAAAAGTAAAAAAAAAAAAAAAAAAAAAAAAAAGATCAGAATGCCGCTTATCTTAAATTTAAAGAAACATCGCTGCAGTCAATGTCGCAGATCTGCACCGGCTGTCAATTAAAATACAAATCCAGTGCCTCATGTCATGACCAACTTGTGCATGATGCTCTTAGAACAGAACGGAACAAATATATGATTTTAATAAATAAATAATAATAAATGCAATACGGAAGCATTTTGAGTGAAGAAAAGGCTGTGGGACTAAGAGAGGCCATAGAAAGTTAATTCTTGCATTACTGGGCAGCTAAGTGTCTCAGTGTGATATTCACCCAAGCAGATGTCACAGTAAGAAATGTTCGAGGTGGTCTGTTCTATTTTCAGTGGAGTATTGAGAAAGAAAACCAAATCAAACGAAGCTGCGAAATCTCATCTCCCGAACTTTACATGCTCTGTTCTCATATCTTGTTTCATGAAGAAAAATCAATGGTACACAGTCGCTTCCTAACTTTATTTTCTTTGTAAATAATCATTGGTTTCTGTGTAAATAACATCCTAATGAAGAGTCGACAATGATTTCAAGACTATGAGATCGGATAATTTGGGTTATACAAACTGAAGATAGATACTGAAGGGTAGGAATCAAATACTTATAAACTTTTAACTTAAATCACCTAAAAAAAAAAAAAAAAAAAAAATCCTATACTGTCTCTTTAAGAATTACTATTCACTGCAGGCTGAAGTGATCTAAGCAAGTTGGGAACATCTGCGGCTGTTTAAACAGATCCAAGGGAGGAGTTGTCACAATGAGGGAGAGTTAATCAAACACTCATATGTTTCAAGCAGTATGGAGCTGTCTGGTAGATGTGACTAGTATGTAGAACCAGTCCACAGTTCAAAGATATGCAAAATGGAGAGAAAGATTAAAAAGTTTCCTTTAAAAAGGTTTCCCAGACCATGAGATACTTTATCAAAAGTGACAGATATTTTCTGTGCAAGGCATCTTTGAACTTCCAATCTTATTCCAATTAGACTACAAAAACAATAGAATTTAGCATTACTCATCTCATCCATTACAAGTCTGGAGTGGGTTATTTTACTTGGCCTAGGCTGTGCATTAAATTGAAAATGACCCCACCTTTTAAACTGTTTCCAGACTATGTGTGTTCTCACAGTTTGAAAACACTTTACAAACCATATGGGCTGAAGGGAATTACACAACTGCATGTGATATGCCATGTGAAAACACAATTTCCTGCAGATTTTGAATGGTAAATGTGTTGAAAAGCTCTCCCTGGTTACCATATTAAAGCACCAGCAGGTCTAGATGGTGTACATACCATCCATTACTCCAGTGTCCAAAATGTGACCTCTTGAAAACTAAGCTGAAGTGTAATTAACACTTATTACTGTGTATTTACAAAAAAAAAAAAAAAAAACATTTTTACAGTGTAAGTGTTTTTCTATGGCATGCTGTATGTATACACATGTGTTTAGGGGGCTGGGGTTCTGGGGTGTGGTTGCCTGTCTGGGTGCAGCTTTTTTGCTCATTGCGGTCTAGAGTATCAGATTAGCCCCGTTACACATTATAAGCATATTTGTCCCTAAAATTACTCGGAGATACAAAAATAGACAATATGTAAACAAGAACAGATTTTTGTTTGCACAACCTGGTCTATTTGAAGGAGCAGACCCTAGCAGTGGCTGGTTCTCTCCAGGCAGAGGAGAGCTGGCCTGGGACGTCTATTTTCATCTGTAGCTCATAAACATATTTCAGCATCACACACACACACACACATACACACACACACACACACACACACACACACACACACACACACACACACACACACACACACACACACACACACATATATATATATATATATATATATATATATATATATATATATATATATATATATATATATATATATATATATATATATATTCTTTCATTGGAAAATATCTATGGGCAAAGACAGAAAAAGAGACCCCTTTATGCAATTATTTAAATTTAAAAAAAGTACAACTTTATACCTAAGGTGGCATTCATGGTTGATATGTTAGAATGACAAACAAATCATTATTTTCCTGGAATTTTGTTGTGGTTAGGGAGAGATCCAAGCTAGTTTTGTTTATTTTTTTCTTGCATTAAGTTTTATCAAATCAACTGTGTGGTTATAAAGTGTGAATAAACAGCTGCCCAGAGGCATTGGGAAACTCAGTTTTGGCTTAGGGTTCCAAAAACAACAGTGGGCAACAAGCAGCACTGAATAGTTCCACATACATGTTTTTGTTTGTTTGTACAACTGATACATCATTTTTTTTTTCTTGTTGTTGTTGAAAAGTAAACACCATCCAACCAGCCCTGGATCTTTTTACACTCCACACTTATCTCCCATGCACATGGATGACTATAAGAATAGCAATGATAGTTTCACAATATATAGATATATGAACAGAAATATAAAGGGAGCAATAATGAAAAGCTGTGATGTTTGAAAAAACCCCAAAACATAGCAGCTGCTGCAAAACCAACCCCAGCTAGGGCCCCTAAAGCACCAGAACAGGTGAAATGTTTTGTGTGCTTTAGAAGTGGTTATATGTAAATGAATGTTGTCACCCTGGAAAAAAATAATGGTTAAATTTAGAATATTATGCATAAATGTTAAAATATGGTTGATATTAATAGATTTGCAGTGAATTGGCATTTTTTAAGAGTTTTACTCTAAACAGTTTGTTTTGAAAACTTTATCTAAGGGGCCCTATCGGATTGTACCCTGAACCCTCTGCTGCCCACCCATCTCAGCTGATCTGGTTGGAAGCAGATCGGGAGTTTTACCTCATTGCGCTGCAGCTGGAAAAAGTTGTTGAGATAGTTGGAGTTGAGGGAAGAGCTCAGGTCCGGCGCAGCGGGAGTCTTGCTGAAGCTGAGATCCGTGTGGGAAGAGTTGGCTTCGGGTCTGAACGCGTCAAAGGCGCTGGTCTGATGGGGGTCTTGCAGGGAGAGATAGACCCAGTTGAGGAGCTGCGCTGGCTGGTACACGGAGGCGCTCGTATCTATGGCAGACAGCAAGCTCATCTTTCAAATCAATTGGAGCAAACTGGATTTTCCACCGCAGATTGTTGGATCGTCTCTAAAGTTTTCTCGCCGCTCCGGTATATTTTCTTCCTGTTTATCACCCTGCCCTCCTCGTACCGGGAGCCTCGTCCCACTTGAATGTTCCTAAAAAGTCAACATCTCAGTATTAAAAGTTCTCCATTGCTCCCCATGGTCCGCTGTCCGAGCTTAATTCTGCGGCAGGGAAGAGACGCTCTTTCTGAATATTCAATGAGTGCGCCGCGCGTCATCAAAGACGCACAGCCAATCAGCCAATACTCAGTCACCTCCAACTACAGTGGAGATAAAACTTTGACAGATGCAGAAATAATTGACAAACTAGACAATATCCAGCTTTATTTTTGTTCAGATTTGATACATTGATTTTTCATGCACATATACCTAAGAAATACATACATAAGTACTGAAATGGTTTTCCCAGCATGTTGCAGATATATCTCTAGTAACATTAGATTAGGAACTAGGAAGTAATTATTTGCAGACCAGTAGAAATGAGTTAAATTATCCTAAAAAAAATAAAAATAAAACAGGTCTGATATAAAACTAAGAACAGATGAACAGAATCAAAGTCCCTGAGACTTTTAAAAGTCTCTCTTTTAAAAACATCCTAAAGATCATCAGGAACTTCAGGAAAATATCATTTTTGTGGTGGTGAGTCACAAAGGTTGAACTTTCTGAATATTTTACATTTAAATTAAAACTTATAAAGCTTTGCAGATGAAGTACATTATACCAATAATGAAACTTGGTAATGGTTTGATGGCACATTTCCTCTTTGAGCCTGGATGATGTTATTGATGGAACCTGAGGATTATTTTTTCTGCCAGAAAATATTGTGCTTGAGGAGCTGCACAATGTTTCTCTGAGCTCCCTTGCTCAGGGACCCATAGTGGCTCTGGGAGTTGAATTCAGAACCCCCGGGACCCAAGCGCAATGCTCTAACCACTAGGCCACCACTCCCTCAAACTCTGATATCCACTATTGCCTTATTGTTTAGAACACAACAGAAAGTCCACCTTAAAGTAGCTAGAGTCTGGACTTAACTCTGACTGGGATGCTGTGGCATGGCTTTATTTTAGGTCATCCTGTTTTTAATCTCATTTAATGTATCTATCTTCTGAGGGTGTTTGAAGAGAATAAAAACTCCTAGGACCATAATCTTTGGTGTGGTCCGCTGGAGAGGCCAGCTATCAACAGCTGAGAGGAAACAACTGGATAAGCTGAACAGGAAGGTAAGGCCGTCCTCTTGACCCAGGGAAGTTGGTGGGACACTAGAGAACTGTATCCAAGCTAACATCACTCATAGACACAATATCTAACTTAGTTTTCTCCCCAGAGGTCAGTGTTGGAGAAGAAATACACAGAGGCCACAATTATACATGCACACACTGACACCTATGGGTATTCGAAAGTTAGTCAGCCCACAATGCATTTGGGTTTAGTGCACACAGAGAGAACAGCAACACATGAGAAGAACATGCAAACTCCATCCAGAAAAGTCTTTTTTTGTTTAAAAAAATAACATAAATAATACCATCAACTTTAATTTCATAATAAGTATACATGTGAAATGTAATAACATTTAAAATGAATTCAATAGCAGACTCAGAAGCTTTGTAGTTAAATCTGTATGCCGTGAGAAGTCAAGCAGGCCTGAGGAGCCTGCAGGCTCTAAGCAGCAGCTGAGAATGCTCATGCTCTGCGCCATCACTGATAATTAATCAATGAGTTTTCTGAAGATATCTGCATTTGATAAATAAGAAAAAAACGTTTGTTAAACAGGTGGATGGAGTTCATCAAAGAGCACTCATTTTAACAATTAGGCAATAAAAGTAATCTAAGAAATTGGGCATATTCCTCCATTCCCCTTAGACAACTGAAGGGTCATAGGCCAAAGGAGCAGCTGTATTGTGTGTGAAATTGAAAAGCTTTAGAAGAGCGCCCTCTTGTGGAGCCTATGTATTCAATAGGCAAAATATTTCCGACTCAAGAACCTCCTCCAGTATCCCCTTGCAAACTAATAGACTAAATATATGAACATAAATTGACTTTTCAGAGCAAAAAGATTATAAATTAATGTGTTGTTAACACTTTGTTATGCCCAGACTAATTTGCAAACTTTTCAACAAACTGCTGACAATAAGAACAAGACCCAGTAAAAAGAAAAATTCTAACTTTTCGCAGGTGATTAATTCTTTATTTGAAAAATAAACAACAATAACAATTTGTGGAAAAGGTGTTAAAAAAAAGCTCGAGATAACATGTATTCAATTATGAATAGGTGATAACCAGGACCTGTCAGTCAGCATTAATTTATCTCCACACTTTGCTTTTAGGCCACAGTGGTCTAATAATATATATTTTTGTCTGCCCTATATTGTTGCCTAAAGGTTAAATACAGGGATACAGGGATTTGGATTTTTAAAAAATGAGCCAAATCATACACTTATTGAATGTTTTCCTATTGTTAAGAACACAAGAGTACCAAAATATATTATATTTGTTAAATGTTTTTAAGAAATTATATATACATAAGATACAGAAAAAACACACACGTATATATATATATATATATATATATTATATAAGATTTAAGTTTTAAGATTTGAGATTAATTTTGTATTTGGGTTAGATTAACTATCAGTTTCCGGTGTATGTAAACTACGGAGTTAGTTTGTTTATTGTTGATATGATTATGCAGATTGTATGTATTTCTTTATTTCAGTATATAAAAAGAATAGTGAGGTTTTAGTTTTTAATTTACTTCTATGGATGTGAAATTTGCCATATAATAGGCCTATACTTTTTTCTTTTTGTATGCTTTTTTTTTTATAATTTTTGTACTATATACACTCTTTTTATATATTGTCTATTATCTTTAAGGCCATCTTGCTTTAACTCTTTGTACTCTATAAAAGCTACTGGAACCAGACTTTCCCTGAAGGAGTAATCCCAAGGGATAAATAAAGTTGAGTCTAAGTCTATGTATAGATTAATTAGTTTTGCCAATTCCTTGCTTGGGTGTGTTAAAAAAAGCGATAATGCTATGGCCAAGGAGGGTTATGCTGGAGCTAATTTTTTTAGATAAGTGCTACTCTATTGCTTTCCAGAAAGATGTTGTTACACCACCACAAATAATATTATGTCAAAGTGACAGATCCATTATGTCACTTCGATGGGCGGGACTCTGGAGCCTCAGGAGAAACATAGACAGCAGTTCCCAACCTGAGTTACTTTTGGCGAATGTAAATGAGCGGAAAGGGGGAAAAAAAGTGAAAATAATTGGTGGGGACTGTCCCCGCCAAGTTAGTGAGAGGACCTGTCCACACCAGTCCTTTGACACGCCTGGAGCCGTTAAATTCAGACATACCAGGAACAAATCATTCTCAGGTTCAGGACCATTCCTAAAGTCCCCAAAGTTCTTCCTTTTTCTCAGCCAACATGTTTAGTTTAAATTTCTCATACATGTACCTGAAACAAAAACAAGTTTGGCTTGTTATGCAGGTTTTGAAGGAGAAGGATATCCTCTCTAAAAATAGCATGGTGATACACCTTATAATGGTGACGTTACAAATCTCAGCATTTCCATTCCAGCGACCTTTGTCCAAAGGGCGAAACATAAAAGCTATGTTATGTTGACAACATGCTGTCATTACAAGTCAGTCAGCTCTGCCTTTCCTCGAAATAGTCCTATCTATCTATCTATTGGTCTGTCTGTCTGTCTGTCATTATACAAGTAAATATTATTTTTACAAGATAATGTCAGAAAGAAAACACGGTTCTCTAAATTCCTTTATACCAATATAAAACTTATTAAACACATATTTTCAATTAGGTAATTTATATTCTCTTGTCAAAATTACTTGGTAAGCTGTTCTAACATGTACAAATGTAAATTCCTAGTTGTGAAAAACAGAATACAAGCCTTCACTCTGGTTTATCCCACTGTAATTTCTCTAGACTACATCAAATTTACACATGCAGCCATAAGAATGATCATCATATTATTACAGATTTGTTGGTGTGAACTAGTAATTCAGGCAACATAATGGATGGTCGAAGAGTGCATAGTATTGTACTTTTACTTGAGTGAGTACTGCAGTTATAAAACAACAAGGCTTGTGTACAAACAGGAGGTGTGACTTTTTCATAAACTACAAGTGTATATATCTGATGAGTTTAAATGTTTAAAATAAGTCTGTTGTTAATTCAGGAAAGTTGCTCATAGTGGGTAATGAAGCCGGATATAATAGCAATACTTCTTTATAATATAACTCAAGTAAAAGTAGGTCCGGGTGATTAAATCTTCTGTTTTATTTTTGGAAAATCTGGATGTTTTTTCCTCCCACCAATCTGCTTCTGGGCTTCAATAGCGCAATGTTACATCAGTTCATCACTTTGTGTTTTTAAATGTGTTCCTATAAGTGATAAACCAGCTGACTGTGTTGTTAGGATAATTATCATTGAAGATGTGTGAGTTTGTTACACCCTGGTATGGGCTGCCTGTTGTGCATCAGAACTGACGTTTTAATCTAAATAGGATATCTGTTAACATCTGGTAACATTTAGTTTGTTATATCTGCATTGTTTTTTGCTTTGTTTTTTTTAAAGACTGTTTTAAAAGCATTTTCTCACATCTTGAATTTCATTGTCCATTAAATTAAGGGGATGATTGGAATAGCAGCTCGTTTTAAGTGATGTAGCCCAAGTCATTTGTTCCTTTTTCCTATGAAACATAAGGTGGAAAAATCGATTGATTAGATTATGTAGGAAAAAATTCAGTGACTAGATTTATAAGCATATTGGCAATAAAAGGTGTGTTTTGTTTTTAAGTTGTAAAAGTTATTTAAGTAAATACAGATGAGTAATACTGACCGTATCATTTTATCTGTTAACATGGTGACGTGATTGTTGTTTTGTCTCATGTGTTAAATTATTTTTTTTATAAACTTTATTAGGATATTCTTTATAATATACAAAAAAAGAACAATTTTCAGTTAACAGTCACAAGGGGTTTGAAAAAAATACAATAATAATAAATGAAAAATATCAAAAATAATAGTAATTATAAAAAAAAACTAAAGTAAAGTTACACATAGCAGCAGAAATACTTTGAATTTAGAGCATAAGGATAAACTTTCAATTGCTTTTTGTTATTGGAGGAGGACAATATAGAAAAATAAGTTTAAAAAGGAGATACATGAGGGCTTAATAATAGTTTTACATTTGTGGATATTAAGTTTGGCCAAGAGTAGCAAAAGATTACATAGGAAGAAATGGTCAGAAAGTTCTTTTTTAATTATATTTCCTGATTCCAGATAAAACATCCTTAAAATAAAATTTAAACTTGTCATAAATATTGTCCAGAATGAAGCGAAAAATATTTAGCCATAGTCCCTTTTATATTTAATCAAAAATGATTTTACTGGGTAACAATAGTGAATGTCTCATACGTTAATCATCAGTTCTTTATTATGGTGTCAGAGCTGCGTCACTGCAAAGCTGGGCGGGTCCCTTAAATGGAAAATGTGTCCCACCCATTAAAGTTAAACGCTTCTTAAATCAGCAGACAGGCAGCCATTCACACTCCAGGAAGAGAACAGACGCATACTGAAAGTAAGTACCTTAAACATTAGGTTACTTATCCAAATCTGTCTATATCATACCGATGGTACTCAACATTACGCAATATGGTGCGTAAAATTCTTTTTGCGCATTTTTCTTCCTTCTTTAATCTTCTCGGCGTTGCTGAGTTCCTGTAGCTGAGCCACGTACAGCGCTTTCCGTTGCTTCAGCTGTATTCATGCCAGAAGAAACCGCGGATCTGCTTTCCCCCCCCCCGTATTTTATGGCAAGCTAAAACACAACCAGGTTATAAGCTCGTAATATCCGACCAAGCTATAGGTTGAAGTAAATTCAGTGCGCTTGAGCTGCGGCTCTGATCAGGCATGAGGCTCATCTGATGATTAAGACAGGATGGGTTAGATCTGTTTGAACTTGAACAGTTTGTGCTTGGAAACCTTACACTGTTGAAAACTACTGACTCTGTGTGACTTTAAAAGCACCTACTGGACTTTAGCGAATGTATTATTTTTAGAAGCTATAAATAAACTTCCAAAAGTAGTTTTTGTTTCTCAAGCTGTGAAGGAGCAGAAGAGGAGACAGTCAGCCTTATCTCCCCTGCATAGAATGTGTGGATTTCCATGGATATCTTATTTGCTTTGAGGGCCTATTCAAAGTCGGTGTTAGATAGATGTTTCTTTAAGGGGAAATGCAAAAAGCTAAAGACTGCTTCCTCGAATGAGGTCAGTTTTCCCATATAAGGTTTTTTTTTTTTTTTATATAGTCCGCCCCAGGCTTCTCTTTCTGAATGTAACCATTAAAAAGCAAACATTTCCTGTAACCTTTAAGTGCAATATGTGTACTTTTTAGCTCCCAACATATGGAAATTCAGATTGCAGATACCTTTTAATATATATATATATATATATATATATATATATATATATATATATATATATATATATATATATATATATATATATATATATATATATATATATTATTAGGGGTGGGTATTGGCAAAGAAGTCATTAATCGATTCAAATCACGATTCACATGCCACGATGCGATTCTATCACGATGCATCATGAAACTTGAAATATTGCGATGCATTGCGATATTTTCACTGAACTCTGTAAGAAAAAGATACAGCCCTTACCAGTGGCTGACTGGCTGGATATGATCTGGATTGTGTCTTCAGTTGATACATAACTGAAAGCAACTGAATTCATACATAGCTGTATTTATTTCAACGACTTTTGGAGGTGTTGCCATGAAAACAAATACTGGACAGAAATATTACTATTACTGGCGTGGACACACTGACAAAAAGATCTTAGGATTCATCAAACTTAAAATAATAAAATAAGGATAATCAGTGCCGTTTACATGGCCTCAGTGGTCCTTTAAACCAATGAAACAAAAACATTCAAATGTATATTTAACCTTTTGCAAATGACGTGCATCATATCAATTTCGTTTTTACCTTCTTTGTTTTTAAAGCCAGAATGCATCCAAGCATCTGAATTGAAATGTGATGGAACCGCGGGCCGAATTTTCATAGCGTCCTCCATGATTTATTTCATATGACTCGTCTCAGTATCCCGCGGCCGGACATTCTTGTGACACAAAGCAGCGGGCGTCAACAGATCCGCAGCGACATCCGCTGGACTGGAAGTTGTATTCCACTTGGTTTGGCTGATGTGCGCCAACCATTCATGTATTTTATTTGTTCATTTTTTTTTATTTTTATAATCAATTCTTGCCTTCAAAAATCGATGCAGTAGATCACAAAAATTAGAATCGCGATGCATCGATATGACGATTATTTTGCACACCCTTAATATATATATATATATATATATATATATATATATATATATATATATATATATATATATATATATAATTATTATACATATATTATATATATATATATAATTATATATATAATTAATATATAGATAATATATATTATAATATATATTTATAATATATATATATAATATGTTAACAGACAGTGATGCTATATAAATATATATATATATATATATATATAGATAGATAGATAGATAGATAGATAGATATATAGATATATATATATCTCTATATATATACATATATATCTATATATATACAAAATACATGTAATTTATCACAGATGGTTTCCATTCAACTCATTCAATTTGTTGCCAAAAAACAACATCAAGTTCTCTTATTTTAATAATACATATAGTAATGGATGTTTTATATGTAGAATAGGATAGAGTAGAAAGTCCTTTTGTCCCATGTTGTCGGAAAATGTAGATTTCTCTTTTAATTATATATTAATTTATCCTATTTACTCACTATAAAAGTTTTCACTCAGTCTGTTTCACTTTCAAGGCTACACCATTATCTGCAGGATGGTGTTTGTAGACCAGACATAGCTTCTTCCCATAACAAACCAGATTCTTTCTCAAGGTTTATTCATAACATGTTACTGTTAACCGAAATGTCTGTAATTTGTTTTGACTCTGACTACTTTTCCATTGTTGTAAGTAAGGGGGAATGAACGCTGCTCATGCAAAACAGGGCAGAATGCTGTGCCATAAGGGCTGTATGATGAACTGTTCTCTCTTTGCAAAGATATGAATGAATGTGCCGACTGAGTGAAATCCATCGATCTCCGTTTCTAGGGTGAATAGTTGAATACTTTTTTTGTAATTACAATTTGAAACAATTTGAAATTGTAGAAAAGAGTTGAGAGCACAAATAAGTACTGTACTGTAAAGTGTTTTTACAATATAAATGCTCTGTATCTGGAGAGTACATTTTATACATATATATATTGTCGCTGTCGGGGAAAAAACTTGTAACTCCCATTTTGGACTTTTTTTTTTTCATAAATTGATACGATTAGTCAGTCCCCACGTGTGAACGTATGTTTTGGAAAATATTAACCAATTAAAAGTGTTGAAAAAAGGTTGGGACTTAATCTCGTTACTCCATTGGACTCTTCCGCTGTCGCTGTTTTTACAATTTCCTGTAAACTTTATGGTTTTGGACATACGAGGTTTCCGTCCGACAGCGACGATATATATATCTATCTATTTTAAAGCCTACATTTGTAATGTAAATGAGAATTCAATTACAGTATCTTAGCTTCAATAACTAAGATACTGTATAGTATCTTAGTTATTGAAACTTCAATAGTATCAATAGCTTACCGATCACAAATGGTCTCAATTCAGTCCGACTTAGCTTGAAATATTTTGTATGGTAGAAGTAATATATGCAGTTCTATATATAATATATGCACTTTTGCTTGTCAAACTATATTTGATAAGATATTAATTTCTGTGTTTAAAGCAATGAGCTACCCAGGATACCCCCCTCAGGCAGGAGCATACCCACCACAGCCTGGTTTCGGGCCTTCACAACCTGCTGGTTACCCACCTCAGCCAGGGGTTTACCCCCCCCAGGCAGGAGGCTACCCCCCTCAGCCAGGTAGCTACCCTCCCCAACCCAGTGCCTATCCTCCGCAGCCTGGAGCTTATCCTCCGCAGCCTGGAGCTTATCCTCCTCAGGCTGGAGCCTACCCACCACTGCCAACAGGTGAGCAAACATTCAAGGGTTTGTGACAATACAAACTTTTTTTTGTGTTGGCAGGAATTATTTATTTTCATATAAAAATATCTTACAATTATTTAAAAGTTAAAAAAGACTTTTATTATCCTTGTTTTGGATATTTGTTGAGCTAATTGATGTTTTTGCATTTTGGCAATTGCTAATTTTAGGTCAACATAACTTGTATAACTGCTTTTTAGAGGGTCATGACATAGTCATTAATAAAACTGCTGGTCATATCAAGCCAATTAACTATGGGCAATACCTTTATTTTTCCCATTAATACTTTCATCCAACTCAAATAGAAAGAAATATGTGTTTATTGGACAGTTTTATTGGCTTATGTTGCGTTTCCTTTCTGAAAGGATTTCTACATTGAGTTTGCAGACAACAAGAACCTCGAGACACGATACTTCGTTAATAATTAGAGTTTTTCCCTGAAAGCATGTGTATCCCTACTGTTGCTAAGAGATGTAAAGCTTTCATTCATTATTTGCATACACCTCCCATTCTCTGCCCAGCACTCCTTCATCAGGATGTTAAACAAATAGAACAGCAGTAAATCTACAGATAAAGGTCTCCATTCTGTGCCAATCTTTAAATGTGAATTTTTATCAGACCTTTTGCTGCACAACACATATCTTGTTTGCTTTCTAATGCAGGCTCATGGGGAGGAGGCCCCTCTGGTGGATACCCCTCTGCTGCTCCTGGCAGCTATCCTAACCCTGGATACAATGCAGGCATGGTAAGTTATCAATTAAATACAAGTTAAATAAGCTTATTTATTTAAATCAAACTGCAATGCACCATATTCAGATGATTGCATTAAGTATTGCAGTTAGACAGAGTTGCACAGCCTATAATGGAAACTGATGCTCTCACGTTTAACGGTAAGATTTCTTTACCTGAAGTACGCCTTTTTTAATGCTCAGCGGTGCAGTTTCCTTTTCAGCTTCTTTCTCTTATGCTACTGCATGAAAATCCGCCATGTGCTAAAGTCTCATGCATACCTACTCTTCCCAACAGCCTGACGCCACTTTTATATGTTCTATATTTTTTTTCTCATTGCTATGTCTGTTTTGTTTCTCATTTTCTGACGTTTTAAAGTGCCTTTCATGAGCATGGTCACACTTTAAATAACATTATTTGCCTCAATACCCAAGTAACTAGAAAAAAACTGGAGAAAAAATGTACTGTATTTTCCTTTTCTGAGATTGATATTAAGATAGAAGACATAAATATGTTAATGATGTCAGAAATGTGACTTCACTATTGGATGTACACCAAAACAAGATGTAAACTGCTGTTTATTCTCTGAACTGAATAACCCTAAGTTATCCAAACATTATTACTTTGGATGCCATCTTTCACAGGGCAACCAGATCTCTGCTGGCATGGGAGCATTTACTCCAAACCCATCTATTTTCCAAACATCGGCGGGTTACCCACCTGCATCAGGAGGGTACCCACCTGCCCCCCATGTGGGCGGAAACGGTTCCCTTTATCCTAACCCACAGTCATATGGCCTGTACCCACAGCCAGGAGGCACCATGCCCCAACAACAGGGCTACCCTGGGCAGCCTGGACAGATGATGCCTGGATACCCACAAGCACCTTCACCCAACCCACCCATGCCTGGCTTTGGAGGAGCACCAGCACCTATGCCAGGGTATCCGAATGTCCCATCACAGAATTCATCTATGCCAGCCTATGGAGGAGGAGCCATGCCAGTAGTCCCGCCTATTAGTGTAAGAAATGCTAAAGAAAAACTTTTCTTGGAAAATATAACGTCAATTTGTACTTTGTTCGTTTGTTGCATACTAACATAAATAAGATTTTTTTATTTTTATTGTGTTTGTTTCTATTGTTTTACATCAGAGAGGATTTAGAGGAACAATCAACGACTTCCCTGGAGCGGATCCACTGAAGGATGTGGAGGTTCTGAGGAAAGCTATGAAGGGCTTTGGTGAGTTTTCTTGGCCAAGTCCGTAATCACATTTTACTGAGTTAGCAGATATCTTCCAGTCTAAGCATTTATTTTTTGCTGGTTAATTTTCAGTGCATAAATATTTTTTTTACATACAGATTACAAAGTACAGTGGGGATCTTATATTGTAGTGTAGGAAGAACATTTCACAGATTGTTGGACTCAAAGCAGCTAAATCAGCACATACTGGATGTTTGGCATTCATCAACCTAAGTCTCTTCATAGTAAAAAAGATCAATTGCTTGTTATGACCGATGCAAAATACAATTTTTAACATTTAATGACACTATAATGACAGTAAGATAGTCTGAGTTCTGTTCAGATAACAAATAGTGGTTAGTATATATAGTTGTATATGTGTATGACTGAATGACTGGATTTAGTGTAAATAGTTTTGGGACTCTTGGACTTGATAAAGCTATGTCTAAGTACGGATTATTTACCATTTGTTTACGATTAAAGAACTAAGTGGTTGTAGCTTTGAGAAAGTTTGACATTGCTAGGTGATAGGGTTTACATTTAAAATAAGAAAAAAAACTATTGCCTTTTCTCATTTCAAGTTATCTTATTATCTTATTTTAAGAGTAAAAATACTCCATTGGAAAATCATCTTATTTACCTACTTAAATTAAGGGTTAATACACTTAAAGCTACAGTGTGTAATAATTACAGGGATATACAGTCAGAAATGTAATATATTATACATAACTATGTTATTTATCATCATCTACGAGCTCAGCCTCTGGGGAGGTGTTCATGTTGCTGCGGTCTGCAGTCTGGACGTTAGATATCGCTGAAAATTACACACTTAAGCTTTAATTCAAGAAATATTGACTTATTTCTAGGTTGCTTTTTTTTAACTGTACCCCTGGTTAAAATGAATGGGGATGGCTCACTATTCTCTGCAAATGTGACTGAATAGTTCTTATAGTTGGTCAGATTTACGCAGTAATTTGACAGGAATGTCATGAGTCTGAAGGAAGAGAGACAAAATGGCAATGTTCTACACTTTGGGAAAATTTATGTGAAATATCTAATTGAATTGGAAGGTAAACAGGTCAGGTTTGTTCCCATATAGAATTGTCCTTAAAACACACAGCACACATTTTATATATTTATAACAAGCAGGAAAGACACGCACACAAGAAGTTAGTTGCTCATGGTAGAATCTCTGGAGTAGAGGGAAGAGAAGTGAACAGTGAACTTGTTTATGCTGGAGAAATTCCAGGTTCATAGATAAGGGGATAATTGGTGTAAATTTCATAAAATTAGACAATTTTTGGGTTCAAAGATAGAGAGGGTGGACATCTTGGCAGCCTCAGAATCAGGCTTGCCAAAACAAAATGCATCGCCTGGTTACTTGGAGGATTAAGGCACATTCTGATGATATTACATTTTCTAACTAAACACAGATTTAACCAAATCTCAGCAAGACAACATCTTCAAAACAAAACAGTGATTCCCCCTTTAATCATATAAGGTAAAAGGGTAACTGATGAAGTAGTAAGGCTTCCTTTAAGTGAATCAACTTTGAGTTTTTAAAGGGCACCATAATACTTTATTTTTCATTGATATACTGCATTAAGAAGTTTAATGATGCATAAATATTAAAACTTTCAAATCTAGGCATTAATCAAAAAATGATGTTCAGAAATTATTTTATAAATGTCCTTCCTTACTAGAACAGACAAGTATTGAAGTAGTCAGTGCACTCCACACATCTTTGTATTATTATTTGTATTATTTATTATAAATTCGTTTTTTTCTTTTGTTTTATTTATTTTTTTGCTCCAATTTTGTTTTTAAAGATTTTAATGTGCAATTAAACAAATTCTTCTGTGAAAGTCCTGCTGCGTAAATGCAGTTATGCTGTTCATATGCGATCACCAAAATCTGGATTTTAATCTTTAACATGTGCTAAATATATTTTGTTTCTGACCGATATTCACCCGAAGACAAACTGACATACAGTATTACACCTAATTTAATAGGTTTCTGTGACACAGTGCTTTAAATATTACTCTGATAAACCACTGAGCTTATTCCCTTTACAGTGTGACTTTATAACATTCGACTCAGATGATTCAAAAAAGGTTTTAAAACTAAAATGCCTTTTATTAATCTGCTGGACAACGAGGAATGGATAAGAAGCATGTTTTTGGGAATTTATTTAAAAATTGCCTTGGTGTGGCTACATATTATTTAGGAAAAACTCAGTGATGTGGGAATGCACAGCTAAGCAGAACGCCAGTAGTGTATCACAGGCATCAGCTGCTGGAAGTTCCAGCAGCGTAGATCAGCTGTCGTCAGCAAAGTGTCCATTGCATCCTCTGTGCAGCTTAAAGATATAGTGAAGGATGTTCTTTTTCTGGGTGGATCATCAAAATAAGTGGTCCTCCTAATTTTCAATCATTCTGGTGATATATATAAGTAAGGCCTTCCTACGTACTCATCCCCATTTTCACTTACCGGTGGTGAGTCTGACATAGGGGAAAAATTGCAAAACTTCTTTTATAAAGTAAGCTTGTATGAGCGATGCAAACAGCAACTTTTAAACAGAGCGTGCACGAGGAGAAATGGGCTCCAGCATGATCTTTATTGCTTTTAATAGGCATTCCCTCTGTAGTTGCCCAGATGCTTTCAAGCATAAGGCGATACCTGTTGGAAAGGAAAACATGACAGAGCAAAAGGCTCTTGAAAGGTTGCTGTACCTTCAGAAAATACAATCACCCGAGCAGACATTGGTTCCAAAGCTTTGAAGCCAGGACAAGTAGTGAACTAAAATGGTAATGACCTATAAGGATCAAGTTATACTGGATGATCAATGGATACATGAGAGGTTGCAGCAAAACTGGTACAAGAACATTTTGTGAGATCTTAGCTAATCAGCGTCCAGCCTAGAGAGCATGTAGCTCCAGAAGTTTCAACTGCACTTTCTAGAGGGGAAAATAATGAGGTGTGGAAATGTCCGGAGAGACCCACCACTTCATTGATATTCTCACAGATTCTGTTAAATTAGTCGATAGACATTTTGTTATGTGTTTAAGAACAGAAACTTGCAAGAAACGACCTCAGCTTCCGTTTCTGCATTTCGGCCCTCTTCAAATTTCCACTCAACCTTATAAAACCAAATACTCACATTACTTTTGCAATGTATTTAGTGCTTTTTTAAGCTTGGAATTACAGATGTAGTGTAGAGGTTATTTAAATATAGAATAATAAAAACCATAAGGCCACTTTTTTGTCTGCTCTGTGCCTAAGGCTTCATTTGGAATTGCCTTTTCAGGAACCGATGAACAAGCCATTATTGAGCTACTGGGCAGTCGCTCCGTTAAACAGAGAGTACCTTTACTCCGGGCCTACAAAACATCCTATGGGAAGGTAATTTTACTGTCAAGGGTTATTATTATGGGACTTTTTTCTTTTATTTAATTTTTTGTGTACATTACATACTTTTTGATTTTGGAATAGACTCCTGTAAAAAAATGGGGGTAACACTGTTTGAAAATATTTTAAAAAGCATGGATCAATGTCCATTCCATTGATATAAATGCCAAGCAGACTTTTGGTGCCAACAATAAACTCATGTGGGGAACAGATGACCTTAAAAGTCATTGTAAATTATTCCAACCTCTTGTCCAGGATCTACTTAAAGATCTGCATTCAGAACTTTCCGGAGACTTCAGGAACCTGGTCAAGGCCATGTTGAAAAGCCCCGCAGAGTTGGACGCCTCTGAACTCCACGATGCAATGAAGGCAAGTGCTCAGAAAAAGACAGAGACAAGAAAGTGATTCCATGAGTTGCAGATGTGAACATCTCTGCAACAGATGCACAAAGCAGATATAGGGATAAACTGTAAAATGATAGATGTACTCTGCTTTCCTCCTCACAGGGAGCTGGAACTGATGAAGCCTGCCTGATAGAGGTCTTGTCCTCGCGCTCCAATGCTGAGATCAAGGAAATAAACCGAGTTTACAAAGAAAGTAAGATGGACTATAAATATGCAGCTACTTACTCTACTCTACTTACTCTATTAGTAAACGTAATTAAAAAAATAACATGATGGGTGATCAACAGGATAATTTCAAGTCTTTGTTGAAAGTTATAGCTACTAGTCCTAAATTGTTTGTATTAATTTTCCTAATGAAATTTTTCAGCCTATAAGAAATCTTTGGAAGATTCCATTAAAAGTGATACCTCAGGCCACTTCCGCCGCCTCCTGATCTCTCTGGCTCAGGTACAGCAGCGTTGAAAATTACTTCCGCTTAGTATCTCAAAAACCACTGCAGTTCCTGTTTTCCCAGCTGTGATAAATCCAATGGGTATTGCTGTTTTGCATCTTGCAGGGTAATCGAGATGAAAGGGAAAATGTTGATGTCTCCCTGGCTAAACAAGACGCTCAGGTAAATTCTGATCTTATGTTGGAAATAATTAGTTTGTAAACGACATGAAATTGCTTATTTGCACTTTTTTTTTTAAAGATCAGCTTGGTTAAGGCCTTGCTGAATGGCCAGCAATACCATTTGTAAAGATATAATTATAAATACAAATGCATTTTTTGTTGTTTTTTTTACCCTGCAGGCACTGTATGCTGCTGGAGAGAATAAACTTGGCACAGATGAGTCCAAATTTAATGCCATTTTATGTGCAAGAAGCAGAGCCCATCTCAGAACAGGTAAAAACAAAGCACCTATAAGAATGTGGTACTTTTTAAAACCTTCAATAGCTCCATTTACACCACCCTTTTGAAACCGGTCCGAGCACGGTAACCGAGATAACTGAGTGTAATGGCTCTCAAAACTGAACAGCCGAACTGCGCTAACATGGTACTAGTTCACTAGTAGGGCTCGGGGCGGTTCAGCTCTGGCTCGGTTCTCAGATAACAAAGAGGGCATGAGCAGACCGCGTCATCTCCTTATAGTCAGCCTCCGTAATCACGGAATGTCAGACATTCATAAAAATACTAGCTTTCCTACCATGCTACACGGTTTCTAGTAATGATTCTGCTTAGCAATGTGATGATCCTCAACTCCTCTCGCGTTCCCTGCATCTGTTAGCCCAGATTAGACTATTGTTTGTCGTTTTCACTTCCCAAGTGCCGACCTTGTTGAGTAAATTCACCAACTGCTGCATTCTTTTCCTGACTCTCTGCAAACAACAAAATATCACAAATATAACCAGACTACCTAAATGTTACTGGCACCGCCATGTTAATTGGCTTTTTTTACCTCTATATAGCAGTAGTACCGTAGATCGTCACTAGGAGACGAGGAACCGTGCTAGCGTGGTGTGTAAATGGTCGTAAGGAACAGAACTCGGCACGGTTAACTAATGAAAGCTCGGGTAAATGTGTTTTATTGAGATACCCCCATTTAATCTGAGATCATAAAATATATTTTAATGCAAATTTGATTGTTATTTCAAGAACAGCGGCAAGAAGAAACTCTTAAGAGGTCTATAGTTCATGACAAGCCATGTAGGGGGCAAAGCAACATGTTACATCATGTGTGACATGATGTAATGTCTGATCAGATACAATATGCAAAATGCTATTACCCTGAATAACCATCAGTAGGGGTCATCATGGTGATGGCAGCATCATACTGTGGGTACCGGTTTTGCGTATGCTTTTTATTAGTGTAAGGCAAAGCTGGTTAGAGTAAATTAAGAAAAATAGAAGCTTAAAAAGAATCCTCTAGAACGGTTCCTATATAGGTCTTTTTTTCAGGCACGCACCTTCTGTGTCCCAACCGGGTTAATGCACCCCCAGTCCCCCACAACATAAAAAAAATGGTGGCAGGTTTATCCATGCTCAAATAACAAGAACACACATGATAACAACAACTACTTCAAAAAAAATGCAGTTAAAATCACCTCCATCATCATAAGAATTGTTATAGAAACAAAATTAGAACAGAATTTGAATGAAATTGCACAACAGTTAGTTAGACACAACATCTGAAATGGGATCCTGAAGATTTTCAGGTGCTGCGAGAGAAAGAAGGAGGCACTCAGATCAGTTAAAACTCCACGGAGAACCTTAAATGTCTCTAAAGGTGGATTCACAGACTAAACTCTGATGATCCACCTGTGTGCGTTTTCTCATTTTGTTTGTCATTTACCTGCTTTTAAAATCTAAATCTGACTCATAATCAGTTAATCTGATTTGTGTCCGAAGAGAAGAGAGAGAACATTGGTTTAGAGGCATAGAGTAACAATAACAGAGTGAGAGTACCGGCCTGGATAAAGCTGTTAATAATCAGATTAATAAAAACTTATTTCCTGATTGTTTCACAGTGATTGCATTCAGTAGGCTAGGCATACTCTTGACAACACCACCATCAGTTTTGCTGTTCCTGTCGTCTATAGTATATCTTAAAATTAAGCGTAAAAAAAAAAAAATTCCAATTAAATACATTTTCCTGTGATTTTTTTGAAATATATCTATTAAAATGAATTTATTTATTTATTTTATTTTTTTTATTTTTTTTTTACAAAGGAAATGTTTATTTACACTCCTTTATTGTCATTGTGCAATTATCAGACCGCCATTACCTGACAGAAGTCTAGTGGCTGAGCTGAATGTTTACTTTCCTGCTGAACAATAAATCTAAACAGATACTGGAAGCTATGGTTGACTGATTAGTAAATTGAGACCGCATGGCTCAGTGTCACGTATGTTTTACATGTTGCCTTGATTCAGCACACCTAAATCCAATAAATGCTTCCTCAGCTGGTCTCTGTTAGCTGGGTTACATCCTCAGAATATTGGTTTGTTAGAATGGTGTGTACCATAAACCCCCCATTAAAATGCATTGAATTATGTAGTTAAGTGGGAAAAAATATATATGAAAAACCTTCCAGCATTCTTATCACTGAAACATGAACCAATTCAAAATTTAAAGCATAAGAACTTTTAAAATTGAGCAGACTTCTTATTAAAAAAGAGGTTGCATTCTTTGGTCAAAATTGATCAATAATAGTGTGCAGCCCTCATTCCAAGCCTGTGGAGCAACAGGGGAGCTAAAGTTTAGAGATAAGGAGCTACTATGCTGCAACTTCTTAATTCATCCCTTTTCCAGGGATCCAGCTCAAACAAAGGGCTGGGTGGCAGGCCTCTGCTGGTCTGAATGACATGCTGAGGAGGGACTTCAGGTGTCATGGAGGAGAGATACGTCAAATAGATGCAGGACAGTAGCTCTGGAGGCAGCCCGAGCTGTGGAGCATTCCTTCTCTCTCCATGATAGGGTGCCATTCTGACAGATAGAAAAAAAACATTTGACTGTTAAATATTATCAGTAATTAAGTCATAGTTCCATGAGTCATGCTTTGTGTGGATCAGGGCTGATTAGAACTCTCATCTGATGCCACAGGCCGCCTGTAAATATGAGTCATTTCATTATTGCCATTTATCTGTCAAAAATCTTGTCTCCATGACGTCTTGGTGTTACCATAGCCTCATTTCTCTGATTCTAAAGTAGAGGTTATGTTCAATGTAACAAAATTGGAAGTTTTAATTTATATCTGTAGGCCCTGGAAAATAAAAACGAAGATGGAAAGTTATATTTTTAATTGGCATATAGACTAGATTCTTAATAAAGATGCTCTAAAAGTACAGCTACAGACAAGGGGGACATGATGCACAAAGAGCCACATATAATTGCTTTATAATCATAAAAATGAATGTGTTTAGATGTCTTATCTCTCCATTTTAATGCCTGGTGTGTGTGTTTTGTGTGTGTAGTGTTTCATGAATACCAGAAGATGTGTGGCAGAGATATTGAGAGCAGTATCAGCAGAGAGATGTCTGGAGACCTTGAAAGTGGCATGTTGGCACTAGGTAAGAACAATGCATTTCAACAGGTTCTGTCTTTTCAGCATTGAATATAGGCAGTACAGCTAATGTTTCCTCTGTGATGATCAGATATAAATATCTTAACATGTTTCTGTGTTCTGTCAAGATGGCTAAATTAATTTTTATCACAATTCTTTAACTACTTTTTATATACTAATCACTTTGATCTGTTTTCTTTCTGAAAATGCCAGCATTTCTTAAGGTTATGGTACAGTAACGTTTTGACATTTTGTATTGAAATCACACTCTTTCCATTTTATGCACTGCTGTATTGGTTTGTTTCATTTTACTTTACTGGTGTCCCTGTATTTTAATTTCATGTTTTAAGAGATTCCAAGGTCAAAGCTACACAGTCCCTCAGGGGAACGTTTAACGTCTTAGATGCATGTTTTTCATTCGGTGCCTTAAAGAAGCATCATCATTCTCTCTGTGGTGTTTCACCTATTAGTTTCACCTATTAGTTAGGTATTTTGCTGTTTGTTGTGTGATGCATTTTTGTGTTTTTAAAGTCTTGGTATATGTTAGTGAATTTTTTATTTCTATTAACCGATCTGTCCATCCACAGTGAAGTGTATTAAAAACACACCAGGCTACTTTGCATGGAGGCTTTACAAGTCCATGAAGGTAAAAAAAATATATACCGGTATATATATACTGTCCCTACGTATTTATGTATATTTTGTGCAAATATCTCTCTAAATATCTATATGTTATGATACCTGTAGGGACTTGGGACTAAAGACAGAACCCTGATCCGGATCATGATCTCCCGTTCAGAGGTCGACCTGCTGGATATTCGTCAGGAATATGTGAAGAACTATGGAAAATCACTGTACACGCATATCCATGTAATTATGTTTTATCACTCAGAAGTATTGCTTAATATTGTTTACATTTAAAAAAACGCCATCATTTTGCTAGATGCATGTCGAAATTAAGTTTTTATACTTTTAATTTACAGGGCGACACATCAGGAGACTACAGGAAACTGCTTCTAAAGCTGTGCGGTGGCAACGACTGAAATGGAGAGGTTTTCTGCTACAAAATATGAGACTTTTTTTTTAATGAATATTAGGTTTCTAGCTTTTCTGTATTACTTATACCCAAACTATAAACATGTACAGCATGCCAATGCTTCTAATTTTACGTTTACATACTTGCACCTGCCATAAGTTGTTTTTCTCTGTGCTGAATTTATATTTTTTTATTTGCCATATATCTACAGGAGTTTAAAATTGTTTATTGCATATATCAAATGTATATTTTAAAAGCTGGCATCTATTATAATAGTATTATACTATAAATTTTTTTTGCAGATTTGATGTCAAAAGAGATTTTAAAAGGTTGTCACCTGGTTTATTAATGTGCAGGAATGCTGAAGTACCAAAATAGCAGAGAATGTGAGCAAGTGCATAATCTAAAAGTTTGACTGCAGTTACATTTTATCTTTGTTTACCATAAATGTGCTGTGTTTGCAACGGATATTTCAGTTTGTTTTCTATGTGCCTGTTTTTTGTTTCTTTTAATAACTCAGCATGCCAGTTAATAAACTGCAAGTAAAGAAAACATAAAGAGAGTCAGTTCTGTAAATGATTGGCTTACCAAATGCAAAACGTTCATTAAGGGAAAGAAATCAGTTCAGATCATGGGAAAGTTACTCTATGCGCAAATCTTGAATTTCCAAGTTAACCTTGAACGATTAAACACAATAAATGCAGGAAATACAGGATTCAAAACAAACTCTGCTTTTAAATGCAAAACAAAAACAATGTGTAACAGGGAATATTAATCGACGGCTAACCAACGACAGCTTTGGAGTTTCAATGAACTGTGTTTAAATCTTCAAAATAAAGCTTTAAAGTTGCAGACATTTCCAAGGCTACTTAATTCTCATGCCAGCAGAGGGCAGTAAAGCCATTTTTAAACTCCTATAATCTCCATAAAATTATATTTTCCATCCTTCAGATCTTATATGGACCACTCCATGTTGGTTATATATCAGTGATTGTGAACAAAGGTTGACATTTTTACAAGTAAGAAGGGGATTACTTTTTTTTTTATGAACTACATGAAAAAAAACTTTTAAGATCAATGCCAAAAACACAAATTATTTTACTTAAATACCTCATATTTTGCTCAATAACAACAAAAATGCCTTGTGTCATATACGGCTAACTTGTGGGGCTGCTTATATAACTGACATTAAAAAAAAAAAAAATCCTGTTTACTTCTCTTAAAATGCTGTTAAACACACCTGGCTGTAAAGACGTGGGCTATGGCTGGCTGCCTGTAATAGGGTGGAGGAGGACACTACACTACAGTCAATAATGTGGAGGTAGGAGGGCAGTGATGGCAGCTATAAAACAACTCTGGCACATTAAACAAAGCCAACATGGAAGAGCGCTTCCAAAGCAAGTCAAAGGGGGGGGGGGGGAAGCCTTTGAAATTGTTGGTAAAATGAGGGCGTGGTTACCTCAATTAATAGAAAGAGAATTTAATAATGTCATGACCAAAATTACCAAAGTGTTTTCAGGTGTACAGATTGCTTAATTCAGTCAGCAGTTATCTAAATTAATATAAACAGTCAAAAGGTTTGAGCTATCATTAAGAAAATAATTTTAAATATTTTTGTTGTTGTGAAGTTAATATAAATTACTCAAAGCGTAAAAGTATTTTCAATATTTTTGGCATGGTGTTGGAGTTGCCTTATGGCTGACAAGTCGGCCCTAAGAGGATGATGAGGGACGAGGGTCATTCAGGACCACCCCACAAAACCATGGACAGACATTACACACATATACACTCACTGGTCACATTGCTTTTGTTAACACAAATAATAAATTCACCAGTCATAAGCAATCGACAGCAAGACTATATTCTGGACTTTAAAAAGAGTATCAGCATGGTAAAGAATGCACATTGAACTGACTTGGAATGTAGTGTGGTTGTTTTTGCTGGATTAGTTTGAGTAATTTTAGAAAATGAAGAAAAAGAAGAAAAAAAACAAACATCCAATGAGATTCAATTGTGTATGGATCTAGAAGAATCTCAATATTCACAAACTCACATATATGACCCACACAAGCACAGGATAACAAGCAAACGTGCGTATAATGATTCAAACTAGCACAAATTAAATGTATACATTCACAAAAAAAGATTTAGAAAAGTATTTGTGATGCATACACAATTATATCTTGTTTTATGGTAGTCTTTGAACTCCATTTGTGTTTGGATTTTTGACACCCATATGACGTGACTCGACAAATGCGTTTTTTTTAAACAAGCTATGATTTGCAATAAAATAGGTAACTTGCTTGTTTTAGTCATTCACAAGAACGTATACAACATGGGCAATAATTTTGTCATAAGCATTTCCCTGGAAGAGTAGGACCTCGCTACATCTCCTGCTGTCAGCTCTCTTTGCTCCTAAGTGGGGTACAGTCCTTGTAATGTAGTTTGGTCAAAGATCAGAAAGGTGAATAAAAAACAGATTCAGCCACAGGTACAGATTCCTCTGATGTCTTTTTATTTGGCAAGTTTCACTCTGACAGCCATCTCCCTGAGCTTCCAAGAACTCAGTGTTTGTATAACCAATTGGCAACACACCTGCACGTGAGTGGACCAAGCCACAATTTAACAGGTAGAAAAAAAAGAATAAAATTATTAATCTAATTTACAAACACATCTACATAATGAAAGAGTCTGCAAAATAAACAATGTGATACAAGACAATTCAAAAAGTTACTTTAAAGAATAACAAACAAAGCATTGCTCCAAAGGAAACCCTCTAAACGGAAGAACCCAGCAAGGTAATCAATGACATCATCTAGACAATTTAGCAGGAAATACCGGGAAAAACAATGGTGAGTAAAAAGGAAAACAAATACCATGAATATACTTTGAAACAAAATACACAATTTCAACCAATAATTCAGAAGTAGTAGCTTTAACCTAAACATATAAATAGATGGAAACTGCAACATAATGCTAACACAGACACACCCTGGATAGTAAGTGAAGCAAAGTTGCAAATGAATGTTTAAATTTAAGCATTATGAATCAGAAATAACAATAAGGGACAAGTGGTGAACACAAACTGAACCACTTTGTCACAGTCCTCACATTCTGTCTGGCTTTAGGATAGGTTTAGATCTGAGCCAGAGCTGGGAGAGGTGGGAGGTGGCTCTACGCAAGGCACAATCTAGAACGGTCCAGAGCTTAACTCTGAAACTAATGTAGGGTGGACTATTAATGTATGATTTAACAATTCCTTTAAGAGCTAAATTGAAATGACTTTTTTAAAAGCCCCCGACAAACCTCTCTATAGCATGTTCTTTTTTATGTGTTCCTGATTAGTATTTAATACAATGTTATAAAACATGAGCTGCAGAGTGTAGAAGTGGGTAGCACTACTGCATCGCAGCAGGAAGGTTCCGGGTTTGATTCCCGGGCCGGGTTCTTTCTGCATGGAGTTTGCATGTTCTCCCTGTGCATGGGTTCTCACCGGGTACTCCGGCTTCCTCCCACATGCCAAAACATGACTGTTAGGTTAATTGGCTTCTCTATACTCTCCTTAGGTGTGAGAGTGTGCATGAATGGTTGTTTGTCCTGTTTGTCTCTGTGTTGCCCTGCAATAGACTGGCGACCTGTCCAGGGTGTACACCGCCTCTCAACCATTGACAGCTAGAGTTAGGCACTAGCAACCCTCTTGATCCCGCTTGGGATAAGCGTGATGGAAAATGGATGGATGGTTATAAAACATTATATATTAAAAACTTGAATCAACAGTAAATTATTTAGATTTCTTTAAACAATAAAACAAAACACAAAAAGCAACAGCTGGAATAGGGTAAAGCATACTAATATGGTATGATATGTGGTCAGTCGTCATCTCTTTCTGCTTGGTGCAGCAACATCCTACTTTTTCATGTAACATCCTACTTTTTATATCACAAAATCTTTGTCCATGTGGTATACATTCTTGAGTTTGGTTGAAACATTCAAATTACCTAATTGGCTGTAGTTAGCTTGTTAAAAAAATGCATTTGTGCTTTGAGTCACATCAGGTGAGTCTCAAAAATTCAAACACACAAATGCAATGAGACCATTGGTAGTATATAAATCAAGAAATAAATGTGTATACATCACAAATACTTGAATCCGGTGAATATGTACATTTTATGAGCTTGTTTGAGTAATTATGTCCATGTGTGGATCACATATGTGTGTAAAGCAAAACATGTACAAAACATGTCAAAGCAGATGGCAACATTAGACCACAGGGTCTGGATATCTACAGGACATGTATGGCTACAGATCGTCTGGGTTCACTAGAACTGGACTTTAGTATGGAATTATAAATAGAAAAATATTTATTGAGGATTTCAGAGGCTATATTCTAACGACAGGGTGAGAATTCTGCTAAAACAAGATGAAAACATGAAACATCCTGCCTTTTATCAGTGGTTTTAATTGTGGCGGGAGTGTAATGGTATGAGAGCTCATGCCTTTTTGACCACCTTGCAGCCATTAGCTTATGGCTACAGACCAGCAAGAGAACTCACCGCATCACAGAGCTCAAATTGTTTCAAACTGGATTCCTAAGCATGTGAGCGGGTTAATTTTACTCCAGTGGCCTATGAAGTAACCATATCTTAATCCATTACTGTACTTTTGGGATGCGGAATGGCGGATTAGTATTACTGATGTTCAGCTAATAAATCTGAAGTCCCTTTGCTTCACTATCTAAGGTTTCACTATCTCTATCTAAGGCTGTTTCCAAAACCCTGAAATGATTTCCTGAGGGAAAAGTTAAGGTTTTGAATTTGTCAGAACCAGAAACTTACAAGGACTGTTTAGGGTTAGGGTTTGATAAAAAGATGCAATATAATCTGACAGTGTTGGAGACTGGATTGGAAGAGTGAACAAATGTTGCCAGGACAAGATGTGGCATGCTGATTCACCCTCACAGAAGAAGACTGAATGCTGAGTCTGGACCAGTTATAAAACCAGGTCACTGCAGCTTTTACTACCTTTTTCCCCTCTATTGTTTGAATTTAATAGAGCAAAAAAAAAGATCTTAGAAAAAAAGGTAAAATGATTTATAAAGATTTGAAATAATCTATGATGGCTCTATATTGTCCCATTACAGAAACATTTTAACACGAATTAGACTTTTGAGAGCCACAATACATTCCGAAATGTACTGAACTTTAACAGAGCATATATTATGTGACTTTAATAACCACTACAGTGATTATTTAGTATCTTGTAATCTTTTAAATGGAATCTTAATGTACTTCTTTTATTATTTAACAATGAAACCCTTGGATTAAATGCAATGGGGAATTTTACTGGAGCATATAAGATATATCCTGGGGCATGTACCATAAAATGGATCTACCTCCGTCCAGGACTTGTTTCGAGGCTGTGCAGGAAAAGCACACTGAACAGAGACTCCTCACTCTGTTAAAGTTTTGAACAGCAGTCATCAAAAGTATACAGCTAAATCAAAAGCAGAAGCAAAGTAGTTGAACATCTTAGTGCCTTAAGCTGTTATAATTTGAGCT